CCGGGCCGGGCGCCCCCTCCCCCTCCTCAGTCAGGGGTTCCGCCGCCCCCTCCCCCTCCGGCCTGGGACCCGGGCGCCCCCTCCCCCTCCGGCCTGGGGCCCGGGCGAGCTCTCGCTCCGCCCCCTCCAGGGGTTGGAATCTGGGGCCTCCCCGAATTCCCTCTCCCCCGCCCCCGTCCAGGGTCTGGAGCCTTCGATCCACACCCGGCGCGCTCCGGATCTTCCGGTGCCCGAGCGCCCCCTCGCCCGGGCCCAGCACCGGCGGCCGCGGTCTCCCGCCCCGCGGGGAGAGAGGCAGACGCGGGGGCCAGGCTGTGTTCTAGGCCGAGGGGCAGCGAGGCCTCCGGGCCAGAGGCTGGGCGCGGCAGCCTGGTGTCCGGAGAGATCCCGAGGATGCCGCTCCCCAAGAGGAGGATTTTCAGGGCCGTCTACGCAGAAAGCTTTCCTGGTCCCCCAACCCCCCTTGCATCCCAGGCCTTCCACTTGCGTAAGCCACAGGTGTCAGATTCTAGCGCTTGAGGGGTGAATGAGATTGCGTACAGCCTACTCCGTTTAGGGAAAGACGTGCTTTCGAGGGGTACCCTCAGCCACGCAGGAAGGAGATGGCCTTGGGAGGGGCTTTGAGGAACAATCTCGGAACACTTGGTTTCCCCTCCCCCTTTCCCAGTTTCTTTAGTCCGCAGAATCTTGCGAACCATTAGAAAACAAAGGGCCATCTTCCTGGAAAACTTAATATTCGTGAAAATGCAAAAAAAAAAAAATTTTTTTTTCACGAAAATGCAAATATCGCTTCATCCTCAGATACCTGTTCCCAAAGCGGGGACTGTACCCAAAAGAGATTGAATTGAGAGCAAGGCCATTCATTTAACCTCAGCAGAGCGTGCTGTCTCCCTGCACTGTCTCTCCTTTTTGGAATCTGGAGAGTTATAAAACAAGTCAGGGAAATAAAGATCACTACCCTTCTCAGAGCTTTGCATGGAACAGAGGTTCTTTCCTTGCTTTTGGTAGTATTTATTGAATGCTGGATGCCAGGGTGTCTCAGTTGTCCTGACAACCGTGCAAGAAGCACCCTATTCCCCACTGTTAGGGGTGAGGAAGAAGTCTGGAGAAGTTAATTCATTCAACAGGTCTTTGTCAGGCACTTACTGTAAGTCAGGTTTTAGACTGGGCGCGCTAAAATGGCCGCAAAGAAAGAGGAAACGTTTTTTCTGGAACGTATATATAAAATGAGTGACCAAGGACAGACAAACAAATGCATCGTGTGTCAGGTGGAGATAAGTGGTTCAGAGAACACTAGAGCAAAGAGGGGAGAAAAGAGAGCGAGGGCGTTTTATTTGGAATATCAAGTGGTCAGGAAAGGCTTCTCTAATAAAGTGAATTTTGAGCACAGGCCCAAAGGAAGAGAGGGAATGAACCTTGCGGATAATTGGAGGGAAAGCATCTTAGGCAGACGGAATCCTGAGTGTAAATATCCGAACGCAGGAGCTTTTTGAAAGAGTTGGGGTAAGAGGGAGAAAGGATGGATTCAAGGTTTTTGGCCAGAGCAGCTGAAAGGAAGGGCCTCCCACGCACCGCGACGGGAAGGCTAGGACGCAGGCGCCTGCAGTTAGCGAGTTACAGTTTCAACGAGGTCGGTTAGAGATGCCACACGAGTGGTGTGGTCAGATAGACATCAAAAACGTGTGTTTAGATTCTGGAGGTACAAATACCAGAGTCGTCAGCAGGCAGGCAATGGGAAAGAGGGAGACAGAAGGGGTCCGAGAACTAACCAAATTGGGGAGTTCTCCAGTGGTTCCAGGCTAGAGACTGAGTCAGTCCCTCATCACACATTTTTGTTTTTTAACGTTTATTTATTTTGAGAGAGAGCGGGGGAGGGGCAGAGCGAGAGAGGGAGAGAATCCCAAGCAGGCTCTGCGCTGTCAGCACAGAGCCCAAGCCAGGGCTCGTTCCTGTGAACCGTGAGATCATGATCTGAGCCGAAATCAAGAGTCTGCATGCCAAGCACTGTTCTTGATGCTGGAGATACGGGTGTGACCCATCAGAAGTCATGCCGTTCTGGAGCCTACAGTCCAGTGGGGAGACAGAGTGCACAAGTAAAACACGGGTTAGGCCAGGTGATGGGGGGCTGAGGAGTGAAGGCGGGGGGGACGGACAGATGGCAGCTTCCTGCGGGGAGCAGAGAAGGCCTCATGAGAAGAAGGTTCTTCAGCAGAGCCCTGAAAGAAGCAGGAGCCGAGCAGGCACCTGAGAAGATGAGAAGGAACCAGCACAAGTGACTGGAAGAGAGTCCCAGGGAAGTACGAGATGAACCCACAGAAGGTGATGCCCGGAAGCCAAGTGGCAAGAATCAAGATGGAAGAAGCGATGAGTCCGAAGGTGAAGCTTAAGAACCAACTGCTGGGTTTACCATTGATGACCTTGATGAGGGCTGTTTTGGAGGAATGGTGGGAAAGAGCCCGATGGCAACCAAGAGGTCAAGGCTCCCGTTCACAGTCATGTGGGACATAGGACCTGGATCTTCTGAGTCCTGGCCAGTTCTCAGACCCATACCGAATGCCACCGCTCACATGCATCCCTAGGTGTTGGGGCTTCCTGTGTTTGTGTTCCATCCCATCTTACCTGAGAAGGTAAGAGAGAGGTGCGGCCAGGAGAGACCACAAGGATTCCGCAGAAGCACTGAGCTGCCAGGCTAACGTGTGTCGAGGTGCAAACGGTTTCTGCCCTGCCAGAGCTCGTGGTCCATGTGCACGAAGAGTGGATGGGAGGCAGACCAATGAGATCACACCTGCAGGTGCTCTGGAAAGGGATCGTGACGGGATAGGATGGCCTTTTGAAGGTGCCTCACCAGGTAGAGAAACGGGCATGCCTGTCCTTCACCGACTGAAGGCTCACCAAGCATCTCCTTTGTGCCAGGCCCTGTGGGGACAAGAAGATGATGACATTTACTGATCTTGTCCTCCAGAAAGGATGCACAGCGGCCTGGAAGTCAGGTCGAATACAACCAGCTGCCAGGGGTGGGAGGTGGGGAGACAGTCCCAGGAGTAGCTTTTCGAGCAGGGCCGTGAAGGAAGTAGAAGAATTTGTCAGACTGGTCAGGATGGTCTGGACAGTTGTGCCAAGGCCGAGGACATGCGGGAACACAGCCTGTTGGAAAAATCTGTGGTCCGAGACCAGATTGAGAGAAGATCCAGAGTGAGATAGCAGAATGCCAAGGCACACGGGTTGTGTTTAATACGGTCAGTGCCTCGCGGGCTGCAGGGGAAGGGAGAAAGAGAGACTTTGGGGAGGAGTGTTCTTCCCCTCCCCACCCCCCGCTGCTCCACCAAGTTTGGGGAGTCATGTTGTGAGTATTTCAGGCCATGGGCACTTTTACTGATAGCACTCTCTGGCACCTCTCCCCCTGCAGTGGCCCAGCAGGAAAAGACCCCACCACCTAGGCCCAACCTGCTGGAGGCGGGTGGCGACGGCTGTGAGGAGCCCAGGCAGCAGGTGTCTTGGGAACAGGAGTTCCTGGTGGGAAACAGCCCAGGAGGCAGCGGGCGGGCACTGTGCATGGTGTGTGGGGCCGAGATCCGGTCCCCCTCCGCGGACACGGCGCGCATGCACATTCTGGAGCAGCACCCTCACACCCTGGACCTGAGCCCTTCGGAGAAGAGCAACATCCTGGAGGCCTGGAGTGAGGGGGTGGCCCTTTTGCAAGACGTCAGAGCTGAGCAGCCTTCTTCACCCACCTCAGGTAGTTGGAACTGGGGGTCAGGGGTGGAGGACACAGGGAAAAGTCGGGACTCCGGGAGCACTCGGAGCTCACTGGGTGTTTGCCACCTGCCACCTGCAGACTTGGGCCAGGATGTCGAAGCTGACCCAGACTCTGACCCAGACCCTGCCAAAATGCCAGCAGAGATTGTCGTCCTCCTGGACTCTGAGGACAACCCATCTCTCCCGAAAAGGAGCCGGCCCAGGGGACTCCGCCCCCTCGAGTTTCCTGGTCAGTCTTTGGAAAGCCCTTATGGCTGAGCTGGGGAGAGGGGAGCATGCGCCCTGTGTTCTGCGTGGAGAGAGGCTCAGGCGCGGCCCGTTCTTTTCTGTTCTGTTCTTTCTTTTTGCAGGGGTGGGGGGAGGAACAGAGGGAGAGGCGCGACCCCTTCTTTTCTTTTTTCTTTTCTTTTATTTTGGTTGGTGGGGGGGCAAGGGAAGGAACAGAGGGAGAAGTGCAGCCCCTTTAAAAGGTATGGGGTCTTTTCGTTCCACAGCTGCCCCCGTCTCGGAGCCAGGAAACAAGAAGCCCCGTGGTCAGAGATGGAAGGAGCCTCCTGGGGAAGAGCCAGTTAGAAAGAAAAGAGGCAGACCCCTGACCAAAAACTTGGACCTGGACCCAGACCCTGACCCAGGTGACGGGGAGGCCCAGTGCGGGTGCGGGCATGGGCTGTGGCCACAGTGCTCCGAGAGGAAAGCCAAGCTGGTGAGGGGGGCGGTGGGGTCCAGGTCTTTGGATTCTGGCTTTAGTAGCGATAGGCCGCTCAGACCCACAGTTCCGTCTTGTGCTTCCTTTCAGACCCCCCATCACCCGACTCCCCCACGGAGACTTTTGCGGCTCCCGCTGAGGTCCGGCACTTCACCGACGGCAGCTTCCCCCCTGGCTTCGTCCTCCAGCTCTTCTCCCACACCCAGCTCAGGGCCTCAGACAGCAAGGACTCACCCAAAGAGGGGAGAGCTGCTGAAGGGGGCCTTCCCCAGCCGGAAAGCCCCTCTCCAGGTGAGCTCCTGAGAGGGGACCACAAGGGAGGATCAGACAGGCACGTCCCTGGGGTCTGGCCTCGTCAAGGCTGCTCTGCAGCAGAGTCTAGGGAAGAGGTGGTTAGCACTCAGGTCTCCTGAGAGACGGGGCCAAAGGCAGACAGATTTGAATGACAGAGACTGGCCGGAAATCTGAGCTGCCCGGCTGGCTCCTGGGGAGTATCCTGGAATTGGTCGTGAGGTTGGGCTAGGCCAGTGCTTCCAAACCCATCACCACACTTAAGGCTGATTCCACCCGGAACCTCAGGTGCCCACCTCGCCCTGGTGGAGCGAGGGCCTGAGTGGGACTAGAACAGGAGAAGGGACCCGTGGTGAGCTCAGCAGGCACCTCGGTGGAGACAGCAGGTCAGCGAATTGCCCGATGTTAATGATCAGCGCACGTGTCTGTGTCACGTTCAACCGATTTTCGGAAAGTTTTGCATGTGGTTCATCTGGCCCTTGGAAAAGTATGTTTCGTGTAGAAAGGCTGAGTCTCAGAGAGACGGTTCCTTCTTCCCTCGGTCCTTGTATTCGTGTCCTGTGGCTGCTGTAACACATTAACCACAGATGTTCGTGGCTTTTACAAGAACACAATTTACTGTTCTTTAGTCCCAGAGGTCAGAAGCCCGGAATGGGTCTCACTGAGCTAAAATCTGGATGTCGGCAGGGTCATGTTCCTTTCTGGAGGCTCCTTGTGGGGAGGGAGGGGGTCCATTTTCTTTTCCTGCCCAGCTTCTTGGAAGCTGTGTGCATTCCTTGGCTTATGCTCTCCTTCCATCTTCAAAGCCAGTGGCAACTAGTAGAGTCTTTCTGAAGATTCCATCTTTGGTCTGTCTCTTCTGCCTCCCTCTCCCCTATGGGGACCCTTGTGATGACATCAAGCCCACCCAGATCATCCAGGACAATCCCTTTATTTGCAAGTCAGCTGATAGCAACATTTATTCCACTTACAGCCTTAATTCTCCCTCGCCACATAACTTACCATATTCGCAGGTACTGGGGATTAGGGCAACCTCTGCCTGCCGCGGTCACATAGCCGAGCGGTGGCAGAATGCAGGTTAGACTGGAATGCATTCTAGGAGGGCAGAGGCCGAGCCTGCTTCCTCTTCGTCTCTCCAAGCCAGACATCTGAGGCTCAGGAAGTGGTTCTTACAGGAGTGACTGAGCAGCGTACACAGTCCCTCGTCCCAGCCTGTCTGAAGTGTGCATTCGGAGTTAGAGCTCAGGGGACGATAGCACACGAGGTGCCGGGGGCTCCCCAGAGCAGGGCTCTCAAAAAGGAGGTGTACTTTTTGCATAAAGAAAACAATGCAAATGTGTCCCTTCTGCTCCACCTCGCTCACCCGCGGGGACCGCTGTTAATCAGCTTGTATCCTCGAGACCTTTTACAAAAAGCTTAGTGCGTGTGCGCGTGCGTGCGCGCGTGTGCGTGCACACGTGCACTTGCGCTTAGTGATGTTTTACCAAAGTGGGTTCCGCTTTTTCTCATCTTGAGGCAGGCGTCACCCCTTCACGTAGATCACGGTTTTAACTGTCTCAAGTTTCAGCTTGAGCCACATTCCAGTCCTGCCTCCCCGAGACTGTGTGCTCTGCTTGGACTTGAGCGTTTCCCGAGCTTCCTCGTTCTCTTCGGTGGATCACTGCTCTAAATGGCTGGCCGCTTCCAATGTTTAACGGGTCTTCTGGTTTCATTCTCGAAAGGGAGCCTTCATTTTGAGTCCTGGGATACCCTGGGCCCAAATTCCACCCATCTGGAGTGGTGAGTAGCTGAGAAGGGAGTCCCTGAGATCTCAGGTTCATATGGGGTGTGCGGGCAAAGTCTCTGAGGCCTTGGGGCTCAGTAATTTGTGAGAGGGTTTTTCTCGGCAGTGGTGAGATCTAGGGAGGTTGGAGGGGGCCGGAACCCGCAGCAGACGCTGTGCAGCGCGGCGGCAGGTGTTCCTGCGGCCCAGCCCTGAGGGAAGCACTGTGGAAAAATGATGTGAGTGAGGCAGCCTTTGTAGCCAAGAAACTTAACTCTCTGTTTCAGGGGTACAGGTCGGAGGCAGTGCCGCTGCAGGTAAAGAAAGGTGGGGTGCCCTCCGTAGTTCTGTGCAGAGAGAGCACAGACTCCGGAGTAATGGTGTGACTGTTTCCGGATCCCAAAGCTTGGGCAGATTTCTCAAAACCTGCAAGGCCTCCGCCAGAATGTCTTCACTTTGAGTTGCGTTACGTATTGAAGTTCTTGGAAGATTCCGAGTAAAGATGCTACCGCTTTTTAAAAGTTTGCAAGTCAGAGATCCGAAATTGGGGAAAGGGTGTTGTAGTGAGGTCAGCTGAGCTCATAGATACAAATCTGAAGCCAGGGAAGACTTTCTAGAACTTTCCAAGGGCCTTGCAGGATGAGGGTGGGGACGTGTGCAAGCCTAGAGAGAAGGTGAGCCTTAAAGACCCCACTCACAAGTTGTGGGAAAAAGAGCGTCTTTGTCTTGCTAGTGTTCGATGTGAGTAAGACCTGGAGACCTGGCTTTTAGGATTCCTTGGCCGGGCCCAGGACGTTTCCAGGCTGGGCCAAGGAGAAAGTGTGTGTGTGTGAGCTTCGCAAGGGTTAGGGTCCTTGTTCACTGCTGTATCCTCGGCACCCAGTAACGCGCCTGGCGTAAAGAAAGCCCTCAGTAAAGACTTATCAAAAGAAGAGTGGACGGTGCCTGCCTTTACTGGTCATTTGGCAGTGACCTTTTCAGAGTTGCTGCTCAGAAACAAACCTTAATGAGAAAGGAGAGAAAAGGACTTGGGCCCACCCTCTGGAGAAGGCGTGTGCAGGTATGCACACGTGCACAAATCGGGGGGGAGTGGAGGGGAGAACAAGGCTGGGGAAGCAGAGAGGTTTGGGCTTCCCAGGAGAGAAGGGGACCAGTTCTGGGCTTGGAGTACAAAAGGGACTCGGCTTGGCCCTGGGGACTAATAAATCAATCCTCCTGGCCTGCTCTTTCTTGGCCCTGGAGCCCGAATCATGCGTGATTTCTGGCAGGACATCACACCTCTCCTGATGCTCCCCTCCCCACCCACCCTCACCTCTGCCCTCCATGCTGCCAGAAAGAATTGGTACTTAATCCTGTTGCTTTAAGAAGTCCGTAAGTTAGTGAGCTCTTACTGTGTGCTAGACTCGTTAACGTCTTAGTGTGTTATCTCTTTAAATTCCCACAATCACCACGTACAGTGTTATGATTTCCGTTTTGAAGAGGAAACAGCCAGGGGGGAGGTAAGGCCCCTCTCAGGGCCCCTCACCTAGTAAGTGGCAGCCTGTGTGCGTTTCCACCTGTGCCCATCCCCCTCCAGCATCCAAGCTGCATCCTCTGCCTTCACTCTGCTGCTGGGACTAAACGGCTTCTGGAACAGCCTAGCCCTCTGGACCCACTGCTTACGCCCACCCCCCCACCCCGCTGGCTGCTCTCTCCTCCCTGTCCACCGTCAGTTTTTCCCTCTCCTCCAGATCTTACCCAGCAGCCTATACCAAGCTATGATTTTGCCCTTCCTGACTTCTTTTTCCTCCCTAGCACCTGCACCATGTGTCCCCAAACCATTTCAGCAAAGCTGGGGAGCATTTTCTACACTAACTGGCTCTCGTCTCTCCGGGAGCCATTTCCATTCTCCCATCTCATGCTGAAATTGCTCTCTTGGCAAGGTCACTGTTGACTTGTCTAAGATAAAAATCCAGCAGTCAGTTCTCTGTCCTTACCTTTCCTGATGCGGCAGTAATGGTGACCTTGCCTAATAACTCCTTCCCAGAGCCGCCTTCCACCCTTGGGGTCCTGGGCAACTGGCCGGGTCTTCCTCCAGCCTCACCCGCTGTTCTCTTTCTCCTGCCTGTTCTTCTGCACATGGATCTGATGGTTATCTTTCCTCCCCTTGGTCGAATGTGAGCTGCTTCAGGTCAGGAAGTGTGTCTGTTTCATTTCCCATGATCTCCCCATTTTCCAGCACGGGATCTAGGTGCTATTTACGTGTTTGGCGAGTGAGGAGCTAGATGCCTGAACCACGGGGCAGGGCCTTACTTCCAGAGCAATCCAGGCCTAAGTTCACGTGCTCACAGCTCCCACCCAGCTCTCCCCCTAGGTTCCAGCCTCTCATCCAGGGGCCCGTGTGACATGTCTATGGTTGTCTGTAAGATCTGTCAAACTGGCATATCGGAACTGAAGCCCCACCTCTACCCCCACCCCTAGCCTTCTCTCCCCTTTCTCCATTCTGCACTTTACTCAGGCTGAATAAATCCTTAAGAGTCCTCCTTTTCCATTTCCCAGGCTCCGCGTCAAGCAGTCAGCAAATCCCGTCAGCCCCACCTCCAAAACCCGTTCAGAATTCACCTTCCTGTCTCCCCCGCCACTGCAGCTACCGTGGTCCAAGCCATCTCTTGCCTGGCTCCTTGACAGCCACCTCACTGGCCTCCCAGCTTCTGGTCTTTGCCCGCTGTGGTCTGATCTCTTACAAGTAGCCAGGGTCCCTAATGAAAACCACGTTGGATGTTGTCGCTGCTGTTCCTGTCCCACTCCAGATAAAAAGTCAGGGTCCTCATGGTGACCAGCGATGCTCGCCCCAGCGAGCATCTTCCCTCTCCTACCCTCTCCGGCCCACTCTGCACAGGCACCGGCCTGCTGTTGTACAGCAGCAGGCATGTGCCAGCAGGGCACCTGCGTTCACTTTTCCTTCTGCCTGGAATGCCGTTCCCCAGCTATCCACAGAGCTGACTCCTCACTCTTTGTACGTTTCCGCTAACATACCCGCTGTATAAGGCCCTCCACGCTGTCCTGTCCCCTTCTCTGGTATACATATGTATATGTATTTTTTCTTTGTTTTGTTTCTTTCCATACATAACACAGTGCATCTTGTATTTGTTTATCTTATTTTCAACGTTTATTTATTTTTGGGACAGAGAGAGACAGAGCATGAACGGGGGAGGGGCAGAGAGAGAGGGAGACACAGAATCGGAAACAGGCTCCAGGCTCTGAGCCATCAGCCCAGAGCCTGACGCGGGGCTCAAACTCACGGACCGCGAGATCGTGACCTGGCTGAAGTCGGCCGCTTAACCGACTGCGCCACCCAGGCGCCCCTTGTTTATCTTATTTATCGGCCCCCGCCACTGGAACATCGATTCTAGGAAGGGTACTGGGTCTGCTCCATGCACTGTCAGAGCTCTAGCAGCAGGAACAGTGCTGGGCACAGCGTAGGTGCTCGAGAACCTGCAGTTAAATTCAGGAACAAATGAATGGGATTGAGCCTGCTCTCAAGGAGCTTCTAGTTCGTCAGAGACACGGGGGAGCTCATGCAAATGCAGAGCGGAGTTTGCTCAATTGTGTAACACGCTGGCCTGGCAGCCGTTAAGCGGTTTTGATCCTCCGCAAACTGTGCAGCAAAACTGTGCCTGTTTTCTCGGCCACATTTTAAATCCAGTCTCTAAAAACAGCCTAGGAAAAACACCACAAACCGATGCGTCTCAAAACAGACGTTGCAACAGTCCGCATGTTCTGTTTTGCTTTTCAGTGTAAAGTAACTTCTGCACGTGCCCGTGTGGCTGCTCGAAAGCTCTGGGGAGCCTGCCCTCCCCTGGGTGAGGGCCTGGTTTTGCTTATTATGAGGTTGCTCCCCAGCGCTAATCCCCCGATTCCTGATCCCTGTGTGGTAGGTGCTGACTCTCGGGAGGGGATGAACCTGGTGAACGTTGCAAAGCAGAGCTGGGGTGCTGAGCCAGGCCTGTGCGTCCAGGACTCTCCCCTTACCCTGCGTACCCATTCAAGAGCCCCTCGGTGGGCAGAGCTGTGTCTTACTCTGTTTGCGGGTCCCCACTCGCATCCCCTCTGCCCACACGGGGCAGAAGCACTGAGGCTAGGGTGCCCAGTGAAGTTTTAGATGAGATAGTCGACTGAAGGTAAGAGCTGAGCGAGGCCTACAGCACTGCGCCTCTGGGCACCAGGATACACGAGGGAGGAAGCCTACGACGGGGCATGACTGGCTTATGCCAAAGGAGCCGTGACCTCGTTTTCCGGTCACTCGTGGTCCCTGGGTGAACCAAGAGTGGAGCTTCTCACTGTCCTCAGGGTCCCCCTCATACCAGGCTCTGGGCTGGGGAAATGAGGGCCCAGAAATGGAGGTGCGGTTTGCAGAGGTCTTCAGGGGACGTCCTTGTGGTGGGGGTCTGGAGGGCCCTGACTTGTGTGTGCTCTCTGCTCCCATCCCTGCCCAGCTCCCCCTCCGGGGCTTCGCGGGACACTGGATCTCCAGGTTATCCGCGTACGGATGGAGGAGCCCCCGGCAGTCAGCCTCCTGCAAGACTGGTCCAAGCACCCCCAGGGCGCCAAGGGTGTGGGAGCAGGTGACACCCCAAACTGGCCTACGGTCCTGTCGGAATCCAGCACCGCTGTCGGGGGGCAGCCAGAGGCAGGGAGTGGTGTATAG